GAAGGTTGGAATTTTGCTCTTTTTTATCTCCACGTTAGTTATCCTTCTAAAGCTTATTCACTATTTTATGTAAAAGCCTAACCCTGCTTACAATTACTATCAAAGCCTTTCTTCCAATCTTACGATCAGAAACGAAGATATTCAAACTTCTACCTACTATTAACGTCGTATTCTTAGTTTACAGTTGAAGACAACAGAAGTACGTTACACCCTCTTACTAACCCCTTCCTTCTAAACTATGACTGTAGGCAGGAGAAATTCAAACATTACCCCCACTATTAACCCTTTCTTCCTAGCTTACATCTGATATAAACTTTTTCTCATTTATTTCAGATCAAAATAAAAACAACAATTATTGTTACTGACATATCTACGGACACGTACAAGGTTTAGTATCAAAGAAATATTTATTTTCGAAACGCAACTACATACTTCTTTGTAAATCAAGACTAATTTTTAAACATTTTGTAAGTTCTTACCAAAACTGACTAGCTTTTCGTGTTAGTTTTGTTTTTTCCCCCACAAGTCGTACATGCGAGATCCAAATAATCGAAGTATTCCGTTTTTTATCTCCTATACCGCATACCTATGCACCCAATAAATACAGCATAAAGTATCATAAAATATTAATTCTTCAATATGTGTAAGTTAAATACAAAAAGTGAGTAAATACTGGAACAGCCCCATTTTGGAATTATTCACAAAATTAGTGCATGGTTAAGTTTTACACCAGTATCAAGCAAAAATGTAGACTCTCAACTTACAAAATTCTAACTTAGTAACAAAATTATCACATAGTAAGCGTTTTGATTTTCGAGAATTGTTTTTTTCTATAAATCTCTCTCTTTCAACAAAAATCACAGTCCGTTTTTGTTTTTAGAAAAACAAATATCACATACAAACACTGTTATGTCATTTAAACAAAGTCGTATTTCCCTTTTAGTGCAAAATTTGTGTGAAACACACAAACATACAAGTACACATTTATACAAACTGTACACCTATAGCAACAACACGTTATTCTTTTTAAAAAAATACGAATTCTGTTAACACGTTTTTTGTTTTACATTAATAACTACTACTTTTCATTTGCAACAACATTCAACATTTAATTTTTTGTAACTCTAAATATAAACCCGATTTTAATTAAGTTTATCGAGTTTGTATTAATCATAACCAAACCACAGTATAAAATGTACATATCTAGTTATAAATTTAGTACAAACACTTAATATAACACTCGACCCTTTTAAAGAGCTCAACACTTCTGTAAACATAACAGGTTTTCATTATAAATTTCTACTTTCTTTCAGTCGCTGTAACATCTGAAAAGAATCGAATACATTTACCAATTCCTTTATTATCAGAACTGCCTTATTATCAGAACTGCCTTTAACGTGTATTATTTCAACTGAGTGAGAATATATTTCACAGATAATACCTTTAACTTAAAAATTAAGCTTTTCAGAATCGAGCATGCCGTGTATGTGTATATATGCGTGTGTGTGTGTGTGTGTGTGTGTGTGTGTGTGTGTGTGTCTGTATTTCTTAGTTCAATACTTTATTATGGATTTCTAGGATAATAATTACTCCACTTCCAAAATGGAAGATAACCCATGTTTTTCTTATTTTGTTAGGCCTATTTCAATTAGAAAAATCACTCGTATGTTAAATAACACATTTTTAATTAGAAACTGCTGAAACTGTAAAATAAATTATATATCATTTCCTCTTATTTAACTCTGTTTAATAATTTTCATCATTTAGTTGATCTTTAATTTTTTTTTTCTTACACGTAATACATTAAATATAAATACAGCATATAAGCACAAAATGATGCACCTTAAACGTTACAACATATTTTTATTTTTTATATAAATAACTTTTTATTTTGAACAAATATTTTTCGACATTGTTTAACACAACACTTAAAATAAATTCTCTACTTTTTTGCAAAACGAACTATAAATGAAATCTTACTCTATTTCAAGTGATTGCCAGTATCCATTCCTTTACTTATCATCAACTCTACGAGATTTATCTTACTCATAATTGTAAGATAATCGATTAAAAAAAACAAGCAACAAGAATGGATATTTTTGAACATTTTACTTTAATATTTTTCTATCTTTTTCTGAAGCCAAACAATTCGAGGATGCTCATTAGGTCATTATTAGTATACATTATATTGATTGTCCAAATATATTTTTTATCTCCTAAAAATTGGCAATAAAAAAAGTGCTTTAAAAATTTTGTCTGTACAGCAGTGACCTTCGCTCCAAGTTTTGTGTACTCGGTAATTAAAATTAATGACTACAAATTTTAAACATTAAATTCGTAAAGTTTTTTCCTCTTAATTTTACACTTGTTTGTGACATTAAATCCTTGAAATATGCGTAACGATAAAATATATTAAAGATTACTAAATATTACTCCCAAATAATTCATATAAATAAGCTATAAAATTACTTCTTGAAATCTTATATTTTGTTCAATAGTCATTATATAGCTAGTTTTAGTTTTTTTTTATTACTTATTATGCAATAGTTTTTTATTGTACGATTAAAAAAGTTGTGGCTAGGCTGTATGTTAAAATCATATACTTTTACCTTGAAGTTTTAGTAAACATCTTGATCAAATCCAAAATGGAAATATCCTGTATTTACACGATACAATTAACTAATTGTTACATACTTTATATATTGTTACATATACTTTAGTTTGTTTTGTTTTTGCCAATATTTAAGTATACCTAATGCAAAATTCCCCATTAAACAGTAAGACATACTTACTTTGACTTATCGGTACTTTATTTTCTAGGTCCAAAAAATTAAAATACCATTATTCAGCACTTTATTCACATTTGTGTACTTTATGTGTCAATTCTAAATTACTGGTGGAACGCTATTTTCAACTAACTTCTGAATTGCTGTTAACTCTTCCAACTTTTTTTTTTTTTTTACTTTTGAACGGCATTTCTAATAAACCTTGTTTTTTAATTTTCTAATTTTTTGGGTTCTTTGGTTTCTAACTTAATTGCCAACTTATTGAACTCTATGAACCATTTTTTTTGTACTTTTATTAACATTTTCACTTCCACCTCTGACTTCTAAAACACACAAAAAAGTACTAAACATTCACAACTTTTTTTGTTCGAATTGCGATAATTTGACTTAAAACAACCAACTTATATTTTGATTTCATTTCCTCGGTTGACAAACAGTCTTAAAAAACTTACCCTAAACTGTTATGTTTCTCTTCTATCGTACTGATTTTATGGCCCACTTATTAACAGCCCAGTATTTTACACTCGGTGGACTGGGCCCTGGTTTCGGTATGACAAGTTTTTTCTCCCTCTTTCCTCATTAAAAATTCTATTAATGATAACTCTAAACCTCTGATTTGGTTGTCTGAAATATAATATCTAATCTTGACCATATCCTTTATTTTTAAAGTACAAGAACGTTCTCCGTTTCCTTCCAATTGATAATAATACTCTTATACAATGATGAACCAAATCAGTCTTTCGCGCCTCTAAATATTAAATCGATTTTCAGTAGTAAATAAAAAACAAATATTTGATCAATATCAAAATAAGAAGAGGGGGAATCTTTTTTTTTTCTTATTGGAGTGACTACAGAACTGAACAAGAAAATTTCTTTTTCTGATACTATAGCTTTAAATTAAACTCACACTATGTAAAATGTGTCAAGTAACATTAGTTCCGAAATGTTTTCGAACTACATGAATTATGTGAATCGGTTCATTATGTTGTTTTCAACAACGTATGTTGCAGAGTAAGTTGACACATAAATGCGAGATTAGTTAAATTTCACATTTAGTACGTGATTCTTCACTAGAAATTATACAAAATATTACCCAGAATAAATGCACTTACACATATAAGTAACATGTAATTAGTAAAAATGTATTTCATTGAATAATAAATATGCCTAGAGGCTTTAGTTTCTACTGTTTCACAGATCTGGTCATACCAATAACGAACTACTTTGTTCAGTTTACTGATGCCCATTCTTGTTACACCGTTACAAGTTACTTTATGTTTCAATTAAACTCCCAGATGCAACTATTTCATAATGAGTTGGATATTCATAAAACGATCTTAAGTAAAAATCAATATTAAAACACTGATCATGTACGGTTTCGAGAATAAGAAAAGTGTTACGTAATGGTTCTGAAACGAAAGTTTTGATCAAATTCCTTCAGTTCCTTAGGGACTATTTCTCCATGGGTAACTATTTTTCAGTCTTAAAAATATCAATCCACGCATAACATTACATGTAATATTGGAATTAGTTCCTTTTTAGAGTAAACTAGCAAATTAAATTATATATTTATTACGAAAACGTTGTATTGGACGAGTTTATATATATTTGTGGGGTTTTATCAAAAACTTCTACTTGTATCTACAAACTTTTAAGCTCAAAAAGTCAACTTTAAATATGTGTGTTTCAAAGGCACCAAAGAGACTTGTCCCCCCCCCTTAACGCAAAGAAATATCAAAAGATGGCACTATCTCGAGATGGCCAGATAATTATTAGTGAATATTATAAAATAAATAACGCATTTAGAAACATTTTCACTAATTCTTCTACCATCAGGTGCGATAAATAATGTTAAGCACTATTTATCACATCCCCTATAAGTAATTTACATAATTCATACAATATATCAATAATTGCACATTGTTTTCAAAAATATAAAGCTTTAATTGCACTAAAGACTTCTTCATTGCAACTGCCTGTTTCATTTAAGTATATCTAATATTTTACACAATACACCATCTGATGGTAATATAATCGATAAAGTTATTCTTCTTAATTCTTAAATACTTAACGAAAAATATAACATCTCTTAACTCAAGTATTAAACATGCTAACTCGACTCACTCTAAATTAGTAATTTCCATTTATCTTGTACAACAGTCCTTAAAAATTGGATTCGTGTAACCAAAAAAAAAGAAAGAATGCATATCAATGACTTCATACATCGCAAAATATACTTTTAAAACTGGGGTTGTTCTCTGTGGCGTTTTTTTGGGGTACACTATGCTATCAGTAAATCAGACTACCGTTTTCTTTTGGCTACAGAATCCTATGTTACATGGGCATACTTTCATTTTACTTCATAGTTCCTTTGTTTTGTTATTTCTTATAGCACAAAAATATAAATCTACTTAGCAAAAACATATGTACAAAGCAACAATTTGCACGTGCGACTTAATCCTACAGCAAAATATAAGGCGATCAATGGACTGGAGATAGTTCTATATTATAAGTATATATATATATTAGGAACAAAACGTTTTCATATACAATTTTTTTTACATGCAACAAGAAGCATAAACTAAATTTACACGAGTGTAATCAAAATATATGAATTGTCTAAGTCCAGTTCTACCTACACCACGCAATGGTATATTCGCAATTCTTCTTCATTGTTGCAACCACTTTTTATGTCATGGAGTAGAAATGCTTCAGTACGTCTTCAGGAAGATGGTAAAAGGTTTGGCTGGCTCCGAAAGACTTCCGAAAAAGGACCAAATCCTCCACGATGACTGAATCGTCCCTCTCGGACTGGATCATCAAAGAGCTGTTAGGAACTTGGAAAACCAGCCGTTGAACTTCTGGAATGGAGTACTTGAGGTGAGATGCTTCCATTGGAAACATAAGGGGTTGGATGAGACTATATTCTTTAACTAAAGCTACCATTCTTTCCACCATCTCAAGAGAATATCTGTTCATAAAATAAAGGAGAAAATAATCTTATATGAGACTATATTCTTTAACCATAGCTACCATTTTTTCCACCATCTAAAGAAAATATCTGTTCATGAGATAAAGGAGAAAATAATATTATATGAGACTATATTCTTTAACCATAGCTACCATTCTTTCCACCATCTAAAGAAAATATCTGTTCATGAGATAAAGAAAATAATATTATATGAGACTATATTCTTTAACCATAGCTACCATTCTTTCCACCATCTCAAGAGATTATTTGTTCATGAGCTAATGGAGAAAATAATCTTATATGAGACTATATTCTTTCTACTCACATTATACTACTACTGAGAACGTCTGAGCCAGAGTTAACTATCTGGCCCAGAGCTAAATTAAATTCAAAATTAACTTGTTAATTAATTAGCACAATTCTTCATAAAAAAACTGATCTGTCATAATAAAATGGCGTAACTCGATAAACTGGTAAGTGAAAAAACAATATTTAGAACGTTAACGATATTTTCGCCAGTGCATTGTGATTCTCAGAAAACGTTCCATTACGTGTTCAGTCGTTAGCTCAATACATCCTAATCCCTCAAAACATTTCGATGAATAAAACTTGCACAATTAGACTGACTAAACCTTTTCATAATACCAATTTACGTAGGAATTGGAATCTTCTACCAAAATGACCAGGTCAAAGATTCGGGTATAGCCGTCCCTAATTTTGACTAGAGGCTAGAAGAAATGCAGTCATGCAGCACCTGCCGCTTCAGGAGTTCCTTGAACCTAATAGCGAGTTAACTTTCCTTTTATAACACGCATTAGTTGAAGATGCGAAGCATGTTCAGTGGCATAATGGCTGGATCCTCGGAATTACCGATCCGCAAACCAAAACACTAGCCATTAAAGTAAGCTAAATTCACTATTTGAAGTAGAAGAATGTTTATTTGTTGTTCGTTCTCTAAATTTCGTTCAACCTCTTTCAGGGAAACCTGCAACCTTTTCATGGTGTTCATTATTAAACTGTAATAATCTCGGAAGTATCAGCCGGTTATCATATATCAACAAAAACTAAAATTTTCGCCCAAAATGTAATTGCAGATGTTTCATATGATTTCACTTTTAAATACATGAAAAACATCATCAAAATAAGACTAGAATTTATGTCTATTTACATTGTTTTGTTTTTTTGTTGTTGTTTTATAATTACTACACAAAAAATTACATTTTAATAAATATACAAAAAAAACAGAAAAAGCCAAAAATGTTTCAGAATGTTATCCAAACAAAATTTAATAAGCGCCACCTACAAGTTGTTTCTGTACCAGAAGCAACTTCAACAGTGCTACAGTAAAACATTTGCCCATTAAATGGCATATGAAAATGTAAGGTTTGCTTGTTACGATGCAAAACTAAACAATGGTCTGGCTGCGCTGCAGCCCTCACGAATATGAAACTCCAGATTTTAGCGTTATTCTTACCACTGAGCCACTAGGAAATACGAAAACTTATATAATGAAATGTGGTGTTTTAATGTATTGAGTATCATTTTAGATCGATGACAATTTATGAACACAAAGCTACAGATTCATCGAAAATTCTGATGATACTAGAAACATAAGCACAGCTACAAACCACAGTGTTGGTGGGCTGAATGCTATACAAATTTGTTATTGTTTTTTAATTAAGATCAAGACGTAATGAATAATTAAGCAATCTTTCTTCGTGGAAATCTGTGTACAAAGGCGCGTTTGTATACAAACCAAGTTACATCCGAAAAACACAATATAGCATAGTTCTGAAACTAGAAACAAGTCGCTCATTGCAACTCAGACGAGTCTTCATAATTATAATCATTTGTTGCTTTTATTATTTCTTTCGTATAAATACGAAAAAACAAAAGTTTCGCTCAAGACTGAAGCGTAGTTGCAATCATCTCACTTCCATCGTCGAATTAATTTTGCACGGAATATCTTAAGTAAAGTTAATTTCTATTTCATTATATATATTGGGGTTTTTTTTCGTCCCTTAATCATTAAAAAAAACACAAGCTAAACAATTTCACGTATACAACAGTGATTGAAACTGTCCTTTCAAATTTCAAAATGTCCGACCAAAATGCGAATCACGGTTAACCATGTCTTATTAAACTTTCTAGAATTTAAAGTTTCGGAAAAAACCTAATGTTGAGTCATAAGTCGTTATGGATCAGGAATAAGTCAACCTGTGTAACGTTAAGTTATGTACCGTTGCCACCTATCGTTTTAATTTAGCAACAACAGGTTCGGATATTACACAGCATATGTTACATTTGCCCTCAAACATGACTATGTTAACAGTCTGAATAACTTACTATCTGAAGTATAACGACTTCCAAAGTAATAAATACAGCGCCTACGACATTTACAAAGACAGTAACTTAATCTTTATCATGGAAGAAAAGTAATTCCAACCTGCAAGTCTCATTTTTATTAAAAACAGAACTGAATTCTCTCATGACACTCATTATCAGCTTTCTATTCAAAGCAAAGAAAAATGTGCCACGATGTTACTGTTCTAAAACTTTTCACGCTGACTTTACACTTCTTTTTTAACCCTAAAATTAGCAATTTTAAACCACTCAGCTCCAGTAGAAGTCCACATGCTGCATCGTGTTGTTTTTGTCTGTAACAGCATTCAGTACAAAACTAATCCAAGAATGGGTGAATTTACCCATTTTCTAAGCAAAATATATATGGGAACAGAAACATGCAGTGAGATTAACTTCAATTTTCATGGTATTGTTTCTTTACGTTTTGTATGTGACTCGTACGTTATTAGAGACCCTGTAAACAACGAAGTCATGAAACCACAAGTAACTTATTTCATAGACAGTTTTCAAAGATGTGTTCAAAAACGCCGATGGTTACTACGTGGTTAACATCTCCTTATAAATACTTGTTTCTCAAACGTTCGCCTAGATTTGTCCTATTATGAGCTGTTATATTTACCGATTTTCATTTGATATTCACTAGTAGTTAGCAGTCTAATTCAAAGATAGATATTTAGTTCGCCAATTTTAATAAACAAGTCAAATCATTGGGAGTGAAAACTGTTGTTTCTGTTTGCAGCAAAAAAGAACAACAGGTCTAATACAGGCAACACAGTTTAAAGAGTTAAATAAAAAGCACACACACAAAGTAAATAGATCAGAAGTGTTTGTTTTTTTTTTAATGCAGTGTCGTATTATTACATGTGTGATTATTACAATAATACTGGTGAACTCGTGTGTGACCAGGATTACAAGGTGGGTTCGGGGGTCGGCTGAGCTCCCTATTTTTGTGATGTAAAAATATTGATGTAAAAAAAAATAAATAAATATATATATATGTATTTAACGTCTTCTACATTCTACTGATGAAGCAAGACAGAATGGCTTTCTATACCTCTCCAAGACAGGCTCCAGATACTGACTGACTGCTTGAAAGCGTGTTTCAGTGTACCAAATTCCTTTATATTACTGAAACTCTTTGCCACACTGACACTAAGTTCATGTTCGGCATCTGTTCTCCGCCGGTTCAATAATTACCTAAGCTCCAGCTTTAATACATAATCATTATGACACTGCTATCAACGTTGAAATTGTATGTAGGTTACTTATGAAAAGGCATCCCAGAAAATGGAGCATGCTAACAGTTGTCATACATGTATGTATATGATAGCCAATGATTGAAATAGTTAATATACTATTGCGTACAGAGTTGTTTAAATTAGTAATATAACTTAATAACTACTCTGTATGTAGATAGTACAGCACTTTACTATAATAAAACATACATATTTATGCTAATTTAAGTCTAGCTTCCCATGCAGTGTTGCAACAGAATGATAATTTGTTGACTTATAATTGGATGATTGTGGATTTTATGTGAACAGCCACGAAATTGTTTAAGCTATATTTCATGCAACATTGCTTCCATATTTAATCTCCTAGTACCCATTTTTTACAAAATTTTCTAGGGGGCATGCCCCCAGAACCCCATCCCCCCCTTCATTAGACATTCTGCTACCATTAGTTAGAGAGCTATTGATAGAAGTCATTTATGACAAAACAAACTATTTTTGACGGTTTAAAATTTATTAGTACTACAAAGGATTATCTAAGCTCATATTACTTAGTGAAAGCTGAAAAGTGTGAGTACTTAGTCAACAGAAGCGGAAAATCTGCAACGCGAGATTAACTTTAGCTTTGTCTTCCTGCAACATAGATTAGTCATGGCTTTATCTTCCTGCAACGCGAGATTAACCATTGATTTGCTTTTCTGTAACGCGAAACTAGCTATAGCTTTGTCTTTCCCGAAACACTTCGTTATGGAATATAAAACAAGACAAAATAGAAGAAACAAACACCAGATACTATTAAGGAAACTAAGGTTAATGAATACAGTTAAGTTTATCTTAATACGTGAAACTCACCCGGGTTTATTACAGATATCCTCCTCTTCTTCCAAGACCTCCGGGTACAACATCCAGCTGATGGAGATGGTGGAGTGAGGGAATCGAGTTCGACAGAGAGTAAGAAACGTCCAGGCGTCCACCGGAGAAGCTAGGGTAATGCCTGGACCAGACAGAATTTCAGCATCCAAAACTAATGGTCCCCTCAACTGAAGTAAAAGTATTATATGACGATAAAAAAAATGAACCAACATAACGAAATACACAAATATGCAATACAGTATTTACTCATTTTTCTTTGGTGTTGTTTTATACAAAAACTACATCAAAAGATTGCGAGGAAAACCATACAGTACACTGAGAAGATGAAAGTGAAAACAGCTTGTATTAACTATTCTACTACAATGTCATTACCATTACTGGTGTACAAATGAAGTAGGTAGTGATTCGCCATTCGTTATTATCTGTAATGATATAAATGTATTTCGATAATTCAAAACAAAAGCGAAGTATTACTCAAACAGTAACCAGTAGAGACATCGACCTTATTAACATGAGTATTTACGTGTAATATTCTCCGCCCACTTCCGTTAGGTTCTGCACCGGAAGTTTAGACCCAGTTAAAATGAAGCCTAAATGAGAGCTACATTTCAAGTGCTTTTTTCTACGAATAAAAGTCGCTTGCATTCGGCGTGAGCACTGTTTGCAATGGTTAGGTGTTTAAAAGTCTAAGAAAAATTTAATTTGATGTTGATATTTTCATAAATCGTGAAGTATAAAGTATATACCATCAAGTAATCAAAGAACAACGTTGGGTAATTTCTTACCGCTGCCATTGTTATAACTTTAACAGCCATTATATTTTTAAAAATTACAAATACGGGAGAGCGGATTTACAGTTTGTTTTGTTGTTTTTTTTAGTTTGACCTCCATATTTAGTGTGTGACTGCAAATACGTGGTATACAACATCTTGTGTGGCAATGTACTGTATGCTAAAAAATATAAACCTTATAAAATAAGAAACCGAAATACCCAGAGCGCTTCCAAAAGCAAGGTCTACCTTCCAAAATTTTTATAGTATTACCGAAAAGCTACGCGTTCACAGGCGATGAGCTAAACGCGTGAACCTAGAAAAGCTACGCGTTCACAGGTGATGAGCTAAGCGCGTGAACCTAGTAACTGACAGTTCGATTTATTTGATTCAGTTTAGTTTAGGAGTCGATTCAAAAGGTTCATTCGTTTGATTCAATGCACTTGGGTACGAAGGGTTATTTGAGCAGAAAATGATTAGATGTATAGTCTAAAGCTAGTTGTCTGGGTAGTTGTGCTTCTTAAAAGTTGGCAAAAGATCATATTTTATGAAAAATCCTGGAAGGATAAAGGTGAATAAATAAAAATTAGATCATCTAAACACTAAAACTTTCGTGTATACTTGTTGTACAGTGGAAAAAACAGTAGTGATGATGATGATGATGATGATAATTGTTATTATCATTATTTGTTATTATTTATACATATCATTATCACTCTGATGTGTATTTTGTGTGTAGATTTGAGTTGGAAATTCCAGAACGATTATCATACCGTATTCAAGAGTCTTTGAATCATTTCACGAGTTCATATTATTAGGCTGGTTACTTCTGTCACGTAATTTGTTGATAGAATGAATCAATAGAATCTGTTTAAACGGGACTCTTAGTTTGATTCTCATGATTCACCATAATGGGTCGTTCAAAACGAACGTATTCACGAACGGTATGTCTCAGTATGAAACCTTTCAACAAAATAGAACACTTGCGGACATCGTGCCAATGAAGACCCACTAAGAGTTAAACTGTTCCTTTAATTTAAACTTAGCACACAATAACCTTATTCGTAACAATACCAAGCTTGGTAAAATAGGCTTAGAATACAATCAGATAGGTTCTCCCGTGTATTTAAAAACAAAAACGTTAGTATTTAACCAAGGATCTTAAATTATCCAACATTTGCCTTTCTTACACATAAAGTACAGACACGAAGGAAAAAGTATGACAGGATAGAGTTTGTAATAAATTAATGAAACTTTTGTATTTACATTATGGAAAAATTCGATATTCCTAGAAACATAGTATTACATATTCTGACATTTACTATCACTGGAAGTTTACAACACTCGTAATTCAGCACTGTAACAATATTTGTTTTGGTATGATAGTATGGTAATCCAATTTCTTCATTTCCGATAAATAGAACTGAACTCGTGACCTCTCGCACATCAAACGATTGCTCTACCAACTAAACTAAAGGGTTACTTCATAAGGACTTGCTAGTAAGGCACTTTGTAACATCTCAAAGTACCACAGTAGTAGTTAAAGCCACAGCTGAGCCTTACTGTAGCTTTTAAATCAGCTGTAAAGGAACTAATTTATTGTCAGAAATAGAATTGGTTTTGATTGGTAAACAATGTCAGCTTTGGTTATTTACCTCATATGCACATAGTCTATTTTAATTTTCAATTTGGTTAATTATCCAGCGTAACACATAATTCCTTCATACGGCAAAATTTACGACAATCAGTTTAAACTTTTAAAGTACCAAATGATCGCAATAACTACTTAAGTGTCAAAACGTTAAGTTTTGTAATTAACAAGTGAAGGATACTATGGTCTAAATCAGTGCTTCACAACTGGGTGAATGGTTTACTCAGTGGTTAACGAGATAAGAATCAGGGTGAATGAGAATGATGGGCTGAATTACAGGGTGAATGAGTATTATCAATTATACGAGTAAAAAAAGTCATTAGTTATTATTATTTATTCTAGTTGTAGTTTGATAAATACATTTGTTTTATGTTGTATTCATTCTAGTTGTAGTTTGATGTATATTTAAGTCATAATAAAGAATTTTAAATTTTAATTTACTACTTTTTTGTCGTTTTTCGAACTTGGGTGAGTGAGCTGTTGTGAAAAACTTATAGGGATGAATGATATTGAAAAATGTTGAGAAGCACTAAACTAAATCACCGAAAGGTAAAAAAAAATATCTCAAATCCCATCAAAGTGAATACAGCTTAATACGTTTGGTCGAAAATTACAATGTAAAGACGTCATCAGTTTCAAGTTTCTGAAAAGACATTTTGTTTTAAGGTATACGAGTCGATTCCACCGATAATCTAATCCGTATGAATTACCCTAGGATCACAAATGAGTGTGGCAGTTGTGAAACATTATATGTTATCAACATGGACACTAGTTCTTTTTTTTTTCCTTCCATTTTCAAGTAATCACGCAACGCATATCTGATCAATATTCTTAAGTAACGTAACCAACATTTAATAAAATATATTTTTTGGTTCATACTCTAATAATTAAAAGGTAGGGTGCATCACCATGCATGCAAGTACTGTGTATAAAACAAAATAAAATATTTCAAAACGTATGTCTTAATGATAAACTGATGAACATCGCCTGAGCTCCTACGTTAAAAATTCTAAAAGGCGGGCATTTCGCAAAATAGAACAAAGTTGACTAGTTATTAATGGAGTGGTATTAGAATCGGTACTTCAAAACGAGCTTATTTTTTAACATACTCAAGTAACCAACAAAAGATCTATTCATCAGGGACCGTCTTACACTGAATCAACACAGACTTGTTTACGAGAGAAAGCAGCTCATAAATGAAACCATTTACGAGTGACATACAGCTTTTATTACAGTTTGTCTGGGTCTAGTCTGATAATTCGTTATATTTCGTTCAAACGGGTCGAATTTTTATTAACCTTGTCAGAAACATTTTTACATCATTAATTTAGCACAAAAAAACAATATTTATAAATATACGGAACACTGGGATTAATGTAAGGATACTTTTTATACATTAGATTAATAAATATCATAGACCACCGTACCTGGTCAGCAACACATGCTAATACCCTACATGCGGGCTCAACGACCTCCGTCGAACGAAAAATTAATCTAATTCCTTTGTTATTGAGACGTAAAACCTCTTGTAACCACTCCTCTAAGGTAAGATCGTTGCCATTAGTAGCTGATGACCGACCCATCACAGGAACAGGAAAACGACTTCTGTTTGACATACAAACATCAGATTCCAACATCATCACACACGCTGAAACAGCAGAGTTAACTTTCAGTCAATAATGTCTCAATGGAAGATTAATAAATGTATCTTCTTTTTTTTAATGGTTAAACAAACCTAGTAAAATAAATGAAAATAGTAGAGAAATCATTTTTACAAAATCTCATCTTTATTAATGTTGTTTAATACAAATCGTAAACATTATTTTGTAGTCCCATAAGTTTGACTAACATGAAAATTAAAATGTTCTTTAAACAGAAATTTTCGTATACTTTCATACATTTATCGGATTGTAGAGAGAGAGTGTGTGTCAGATTATTTTTGCGCCAAACTTAACCTGTTTATATCAAAATGTAGAATTTTGTAAAGTTGTAACATTCATTATTCTTACAGTGCAAATTTTATTCCCCGAGTTTAAACATTAACGGAAAACATCCCGATGGATTTATTGATATAACAAAGTATACCAATCTCCTTTAAACAAGTTTTATCAGATTCCCAGTGAAGCTTGGGAGAGGAGAGAAACTTACTCGTAAAAACCCAAACATGTCATTCAGCACATTCAAGAAGTTTAGACGATTCACTTAAATCGTTTATAAATTTACAATTAAAATTTATAGACTAGAAGTCACTTGCTAAAATCTCTTAATTGTAACAGGTACATTTTTCTTTCAACACAGGTAGCTAGTTCATCCTTTCAGCATTGACGATAACTACTAGGCCTAAACTGCGAGTTTAAAAGTTAGTAATTATCCAGTAACGTTTAAAACTTTATAACTTCTTCCTAAGTTATCCAGTTATTTCTTATTCCATCACTGCTAGTTATTTTCACTTCCATCGAACTTGCTCATTTGGCTAACACTTCTTTCTCAGATCATACATTGCACAACCCA